GCTGGCACATAGATTTTTGTGGGGCAGAAAAACAGAAACTACTGAAGAATCTTCCAACATTGTCGTGGCTAGTTTTAACTACAAGGTATGTGTACGCATATGCCAGCACCTCCTATAACACAGGAAGTTCCATATATGACTGGGATTATGGACAGATTAAAGGGGAAAAGAAAAATGAGGGGAGCACCTCTGCCTTCCTCGGGAGGAAATCTTTGGGTATCTAGCAGCAAGAAGCATATCCTCATAATTCTGTTTAGAATTAAAATAGCAGCAAATACAAATGAAAGCTCCAAATGTAGAAAGTACTAGATCATATAGGATATAAATTAGTTGCTCTGTAATTTTCAAATTGAAAAAAAGACACAAATAATGTAATCAACAACAAAAGTATGCTACATTCACCAGATGAAATAATAGGTGACAAGCTTGATTTTGAAAAATGTTCAATGACACGTACAAATTCAGAATACAAAGCTGTGCATAGAGCATGATCCCAAATGCGATCTGTGTGCATAGAAAAGAACCCTAAAAAGAATTTCACCAAAACTTGAATCAAGAAAAGTTAGATGGTGAGATCACGGGTAAATTTTTACATCTTCCTAAAAAGTGCCCTGCATTTTCCACAATAAAAATCTCCTGTTTTATAATTTTTAAATGTTCCTTTTAAAAAACAAATATTTTCTAAATCTACAATTTCAGAATTTCTAGTAACAAATACAATCAGTAAAATTATTCTTTCACTAATATTTGAAAATAAATGTCTTTATTTTGTTTGCATTGGACTTTGGAAAACAATCTCAGAATATTTCTATCATTTTCTTTATACCATTTTTCTCGTTACTTATAAATATACCTGCAGAAAATACTGTATATATTTTTTCATAAAACAGCCATACTCATAAAACATAAGGGCCAAGAGAATATATAGGGTAGAATAATCTAGAAAATAATGTTTTCTTAATTTTAGGCACCAGCTGTGTCTAAAACATTATGCAAACATATTCAAAATTAAAATCAATCTTTCTTTTAATACTTACACTACAAAATTACTTGCAAAGCTCTACAAAGATGGCCAGTATCCTTAATAAACTCATACCTATTTTAATAGATTTTTAAAAATTATATCAGATACAGGTCTGTATAGGTAAGACATTTGAAACCTTCACTATTTAAACTTTGATGCTGACTTGCTGAGCAAAAATAATTTAATTATACACTAACTCTTTTGGTGATTCACAGATTCCACTGAAACCAATAAAAATATATTTCTGATAGAATAAACAGTATTATGAGTTTCCAGGTAAATGCCAGAAGAATAAAAAGATTAATATTAATAAGATCTTTTTAGAACAAAAAAAGAAATCAAGTCTTTTCCTTTAAAATTTTAAGCAAAAGGAATAATAAATTTTAATGATACTATAGATGGAAGAAATTTCTAACTGTAACATGTCACGAGAGCATTTGTCTGGTAAGAAGCTCATAATAAAGTCTTAAATGCATATGTAAAAATTCTGTGGGTTGCATAATACTTGTTCTCTTTGTCGTGTAAAATTGAAAAATAACATTTGATGTTAAAGCAAAGTCAGATGTTGGAAAAAGTGGATTTTATTACCACATATCACCACTGAATACATGAGGAAAATATGCTAAAGTTAGTTATTCTGTACACATATACTAAGAGCAATCTTCTATCACTGATTAAGGCTGCTGGTGCTAATGCTTTATATGCACTTTGATGCAGTTTTAACATGTCTTAGCTTTCCAAGCAATAACATAAGACACAAACACCTAAACCAAAGTACCCAGTCAAAATAGTAGCAAGACATTTAAAAAAAAGGGAGGAGTGTGCATTAGCGGCATGAGCAGCATCATGTATTTATGTTGGCGATGGGAGCGCAAGAATGCCACTTTGTTACGTAAGCAAGAAAGGCTGCCCTTTTGATTACAGCCGAGTCACATTACAAACCCCTTCAATCCATAAGGCCTCATTTATCAAGTTCACTGCTTTGCTTAAATAGTATCTTTGGGCTACAGTCACAGGGCTTTTTTTCACTGAAAATGTATTTTTGTCTTGTTTTCTTGTTTTATTTTCCCTGGTCTGGCCAACACACACAGAGAGAGAGAGAGAATATATATATATCTCCATAGGTTATCCATATTTCTTTTCCTACATATATACATATGTATATGTATGTGTGTGTGTACACACACATACCTCTTTCTCCACAATTTACTTATAAATTACCTACTGCGTGTCAGGCTCTGTGCCTGGTCTTGGGGGTGGAAAAACAATCAAGATTCGGTTCCTGTCCTCAAAGAGCAAACATATTTATAAAACTGCCCACTTGTTTTGTTTGCTTAACACATATGCCTTCAATATCACTTACTGCTAGAACTGCCAGCTCTTTCACACGGGTGCCACCTGGGTGCACCATCTGTCCAAGTGATTCAACACAGTCTGGCTCTAAATTTCCAATCAGCATAATTCTTCAGTAATTCATACTCCCAGTTCCCTGGCCCTTAACTACATAACACATTATTAGAAGGACCATAAGCAGTCAATCAATACTTGCTGATTGCTTGACTGCTTGGTTGAACCATTTATCAGCATATATTTGGAAACACCACAATATCAAAAGAAATGGCAGCTACTAATTAATAGTTTATTAGATACCAGATACTCTACCAAGCATTTTATACATATTTTCAGATTTAATTCTATAGTAAAGGTATCATTATACCTATTTTAAGGATGACAAGGTTGAGGCTTTGAGTTTTAAGCAACTTGCCTAAAGCTACACAGCTAGAAAATGATTTATACTGAAAGTTCTACCCATAGCCACTAACGCTATACTATCTCTCAAAGAGAAAGGCCCTATCTGTGGATGGTTTGACCCAATGAAACTTTGACTCATAGCTAACCATACTAAGGAACGGAGCAACGTAAACAGCTAAGTCAATCAAAAGTACACAACAATCATGTATACAAAAATTATTAAAGAAAAGCAAGGATACAAGCTGTAATATTTATGTAGGGGTGTGTGTGTCTATGCATCTTTAAGATTATTTACCATTTTAGACTTCAGAGACATCCTTTCTCTGCGTTAGTATCCCTTGACAGGATGCATATAGTTTTAACTACTGAAAGGAATTTTGTTTTTAATGATCCCCCTATGAGCTTTCAATTGCAGACCTGTCTCTTGTCTATATCCTGTCCTCAGCATCCACCACAATGCCTGCTACATACTAGATGCTTCATACATAGCAATGGAATACAATCATTAACTCTTGAAACTCTATTCTAAGGCAAATGTTTCATTTATATGAATGAGCGATAACACATATATATCTGGAACATCACTAAACAGAATCAGTGAAGAAACATTTATTTTAAGCAGAACAAGGAAACTTTACATTTTCAACATATCAAAACTTTCACCACTATTTCTTAAATGCAAATAAGTAAATAAGTAAATATAAAACATGTTAACAATCTTCTGGCTAAAATTTTAATTATGGAAAAGTTGGAAAATTGAGCATTATCTCCACAGCAACTACACCCTGGCAACTGATACATTAAATATGTGTGAAAGTTAGACATAATCAAAACAAAGCATGACATAATAACCAAATTGCGCGGTTGTCAAGGTTGTAGGCCAAAATATAGCAACTTAAGCACATTTAATCATAAATTCCAAACTAACTTATATTTTATTTCCTTGATCTTAACAATTACTGGAAAGGTAAAAAACATAGCTAAAATATAGTGAATTTTGCAAACAACGAAAAGAGGAAAAGATGAGCACAGCATTAAGAGAGTGGAGTTTCTTCTTAGAAGTTTATGAAGAGTTTTATGACACCCCACCCAATGATAGTTTCTTCATCATAGATTTCAGTAACCCTTATCAAGTATAGGATTCATTTGGCCCAGTCTATACTGCCTCATCCTATTATCTGTACTTTAATGGTCTTTTCTACATTTGACTTCTATCACACTCAACTGCAAATCCTTTTAGGAAGTTGGTGGAAGAAACAGAAAGCAAATTTAAATATTCTATCTTCTATTCTTCGTTGACTTCTTGCCATAAAAGTAGTGACTCTCTAGAAGTCCCTAGTATTCTACCCAATGCCTGATATATAGCAGACACTCAAAATAAATTTACACATCTACTAATAGGAAAGCAGTGAGCCTGCTGGGGATGTTCCAAGGTCACTAACCTTCTTAAGCTTCAGTCCGCAACTGCAAAAATGAGCATAATAGAAGCAATTTCATAAAATTACTATCAGCGTTAAAGTGCCTAGCAAATAGTGAGCACTTAACTATTCTATATTTTATTTTGAGCCTCAGTTTCCTCATAGGTTAAAAGAGATCAATAAAATCTAACCCAAATGGGGCCGCCCGGTGGCGCAAGTGGTTAAGTGCGCACACTCCGCTGCGGCGGCCCGAGGTTCGCTGGTTTGGATCCCAGGCGCGCACCAACGAACCGCTGGTCAGGCCATGCTGTGGCGGCGTCCCATATAAAGTGGAGGAAGATGGGCATGGATGTTAGCCCAGGACCAGTCTTCCTCAGCAAAAAGAGGAGGATTGGCAGATGTTAGCTCTGGGCCGATCTTCCTCACCAAAAAAAAAAAAGAAAAGAAAAATCTAACCCAAAGAATTGTGAGAATTAAATAAGTACACATATGTAAATCACTAGGCATAAATGCCTGACATACAATAGGTCCTCAATAAACCATAATTTCTTTCTTTGCTACCTTGCCTCTAAACTCCTATTTTAAGATCCAAAAAAATTTTAAATTAAGTGTATTAGAAGGTTACTGGTGGGTTAAAAGAATAAATATCACAGCATTCTAATAAATTTCTATAATTTTTTCTGGGACCAATACAACTTTCCTATGAAAGATTACAATTAGCATTTATTAATACATAAAATGTGTTCTAGAAGAAATAGAAGAAAGTCAAATAAGTCTTTTAAATTAAAATTCATTCATATTTTTACCTTTTCTTCTAGTTGGTCCTTCAAACACTGATATTTTAGCTTCAGTTTTTTGTTCTCATTTTCATTCTGGGTTAATTCCTCTGTCAGCCTGTCACACAGTGATTTCAACTTCTCTAGTTGACAACGATGCTTGTTAGCCATATTCTTATCTTCTAAGCTTTCTGCCTGAGAAAAAGAGAAGGAGAAAAGAGAAAGTCCACTGGCCACAGCCAAACTGTACACCAAACAAATTACACATCATATCAGTGGGCAAATACTTCAAGATTCTGCTATCGCTAAGCATTTGTACAGAAACATACACAAAGGAAATGCTCTTTGCAGTTATTCAGTCACTCCTTAGCACTCACTGAGCATTTACTAAGTGAAAGGTACTGTGCTAGGTGCTGAAGATAACAGATGTGAACAGTAAAAGAGATAGATGCAACACTCAATTTCCACAACAATGAATGAGAAGTGCTTTATAAAGGTGTAAGCAGGGATTCGTGAACACTAACTCTGTTGAGAGGGGAAGGAGTTATTACAGAAGTGTCCCAAAAAGGAAACGCTATGAGATATTAATGACTGATCAGTTTCTTCATCTATAAAAGGAGCTTAACAACATTCCTATTCAACCTATCTCCCGGTTTTTGTGAAAGAATTGTGTACTTTTTGTACAATGTAATTATTGATACCACTCTTGTAGGCTAAAAAGATTATGAATTGTAGCAGCCAAGAAACTACAATAACTTAATATGAAAAAGAGTTTATCGGGGCCAGCCTGATGGCGCAAGCGGTTAAGTGCACGCGCTCCACTGCAGTGGCCCAAGGTTTGCCAGTTCAGATCCCGGGCGCGCACTGACGCACCACTTGTTAAGCCATGCTGTGGCGGCGTCCCATATAAAGTAGAGGAAGATGGGCATGGATGTTAGCCCAGGGCCAGTCTTCCTCAGCAAAAAAGAGGAGGATTGGCATCAGATGTTAGCTCAGGGCTGGTCTTCCTCACAAAAAAAAAAAAAAAAAGAGTTTACCAATGATTATTTCAGCACCAATAGTGTCATAAAGTAAATGATTTTCGATCTTTAGAATATAACCAGAATCAGCTTTAGAAAAATTAGGAATAATCTATCCTGCGTATGGGATTCAATAAAAATTTGCCAGGGATGTGAACTTAAAGACTTTTAAAATAACAACAATGTAAACACTTACTACGTGTCAGGCACTGCTCTAAGATCTTCTTGTATAGTTTTTCTTCATATGGTCCTCACAACAAACTGACCGAGGAGGTACTATTATTGCCTCCTTTTTTGAAAATTGAAGCACAGAGACACTAAGAACTTGCCCAAGGGGACACAGCAAGTGCAAAGTCAGAATCTGAACCCAGGAATTCTCTCTATTATCCATGCTTTCAACTCCTCTGCCAAACTGCCTTTCAAAAGGTACACATATTATAGGGCTTTAAAAACCAGCTGGGTGCAACTTGCAATGTTAACTGGTCACACCTACTAGTTACTAATGGCCTGTAAGCAACTACATACAATTTGTTTAAAATAAATGTTTTAATGCCAAAAATATATCTGTTTCTTTTCTTTTTATATGTGTTTAATCGGGTATGCAGAAACACAATCATTGGAAGAAATTTCCTGAAAGGAAGAAGTTCTATGAGTTTTAGATAAAAATCGATCTTTTATTCGCTCTACAAAATTCACCTAAGATTTGATGCCACTTTGAATTAATAAAAGAATTGATTTTTTTATGAGGAATCCTGTATTCCCAATTCAAAAATAAACTTACAAAATAAACTCTCTCATCAGGAAAATTGTTCAATTAAGATTTTAAGTTTCAGTAGACTGCTTTGGCTTTTCTTTATGTCTCATAAAAAGCATAGGTAGAGAAGGTTTCCCCCTAAGGCCAGTGGTGTGCTAGAGCCAGCTCATAGAGACTCTGAAAAACCAATTGTGCTCACCTCTTCCCAACTCTGTCCCTCTCAAGTGACACCTTGTTCGATAGCTTGAAATCAGCCAAATGGGGGTATTTATACCCCTGAACTTGGCAAATGCTATAAATCAGGGTTTCCCCTCCACCCCCAGAGACCCTATTTTAAAACATTTACCAGCACACCAATGCCTAAGTTTGACTAACAACTTCCTTCTTGTTGTGGTTTTCTTATTACATTTACACTTTATTTTAGGGTTTACAAAGTGATGTCACATCACAAAAACTCTGTCATAGACAAAGACATTACTATTCCCATTTTATTGATGAGGTGCAAAAAGGTTAAGTAACCTGATCAAGATCAAATGGCCAGCAAGTGGCAAAAGTACAGAACGCCAATCCTTGGTCTCTTGATTCCAATAAAAGGCTCTACAAAATGATTTTTGTTGAAATCGTAATGAGGTGATAATCCAATATCCTTCAAATATTAATAGCAGCTAGAGTATTTCATTAAAATATTTTACATGTAAGTTTAAAAATAGGCATGAGAAGCGTAGTTCTAGATGGGTAAAAAATATAATTTGTCCAGAGAAAAATTATGAGTAACGTACCAGCACTTTCTAGACTCAGAAAAAGTAATACATTAAGGTGAAGCTGAAAGACAAAGAAATATAACATTTATAGAGCTGCTTGTCCAGAGCCCTCTTGTACGTAATTCAGTATACTAAATCTTCTGTGATGACCACTGGTATCAACTCCTTTTAATTAACATAAATAAGTAAAAAGTATAGGATTATATTAATGAAATAGCATGAGGTGGAGGTTGTTCCTTATGGATAATTTATTCAGTTTAAAAGGAAAGTTCTGGGCCTCTCACAATCTCCGGTCCCTCTTGTGCTGCTTTTGTCCTACATTAAAGAGTGTCTGCAACACCCCTCCTAGATCTCAGTCTTCCAAATTACAAAAAAAAAGTCTCAAGTTTTTAGAAGACCTACAGAGTACTTCTAAATTATATATTCTTTACATACACGTGAATTTCTTAAAGCTTTAGTATCATCTCACTATATGTGAATTCAAAACACTTCCTGAAGAAAGGATGAGGAAATCAATTTTCCCACATTACAGGGAGAAATCCAAACCAGACAGGTCACAGAGCAAGTCAGGAGCAAATCTTCTGATTTCCAGCTTTTTAAACATTTCAACCCAACATCCATTGAATAGCTTCTGTATGTCTCGAACATTATGCTAGAAACCATAAGATGATACAAAAACAGCTAAGACCTGATGCCCGCCTCTCTGGAGACTTATGAACACACAGCAAACCATGATATAAGGCAGCCTAAATGTGCTGTACTAGAGGTACCAACAAAGAACTATGGAAACAGAGGATAGAGAGATTCATCCCAACCTCAGTTGAGATATATTCCAACTTCAGTGAATCCATAAATGAGATGAAAAATTAATTGGGCCTTGAAGGATTAGGCAGCATTTCTCCTCCTTCAGATTGGGGGGAAGGACAATCCAGACGAGGAACAAGCAGTGAAAAGTATATGTGGGAAATGGTTGTATATTTGTATGAGGAATGTTGGGGAGCACACAAGGCTCCAAATGTGGACAACTCAGTTGGGACCATATCAAGGAGGGCTGGACTAGAGTTGAGAGTTTGTTCCAGAGACAGTAAATAATCAATGAAAGTTTTTGAGCAGGAAGTGACACACTCAGACCTATGTTTTGGGAAAGGAAATCGGGTGGTATCTGAAGGTTGAAAGTGAGGAGTTAGGGGTAGAAAGAGGAGGTAAGGGGGAAGTAGGAAGGCTCCTTAGAGCCCTGTCTCCGTAATCCGAATTAGCAGCCGGCATCCTGTTTTCTACTATGACACATGATATATTGTTCATATGACAATGCATTCAGGAGCAAATGTAATTTCGGTTAAGCAGGCTGTCCCTCATGACTTCACCTCCCACTCAAGAAAGCATATCACAGTGTGAGAGTGATGTTCTTATAGAGATGATCTTGAATCTGAGCCAAGTGCTTAAATTATTAGTAACTCCTGCTGACATGTATGTTTATTACATAACCTGAACAATGGTGATGAGAGCCGGAAAAAGGTCAGTTACAGTGAGAAAAAAGGGAGGGTGCAGTTTCAACAACACTCTCAAGAAAATGCAAGCTCCTAAAAAGAAGCATTTCACAAGCCATGACCTAACAAATCATTACATACTTGTCCTCATGCAAAAACCCTGCTTTCCTTTGAGAGTCACATTATTCCTCATCAATCCTCCTTTCCTTGAAGGCAACAGCTGACTGATCTGTTATCCTCTTCATTGAGGTTTTTGGCATGTGATCAATAGCATCAGAAATATCCAAATATCTATCCAACAAACTAACATCAAAGTTACTTGACCTGTTCTATTCTAACCACCTTCACCCACATTCCACCACAACAATCCACCGCGTTACCACACTTGGGGCCTTAACTCTGAAAATTTAAACTCCAATGTAAGAATTCCGGACCAAATAAGCAACCTATGATCAGAGATTCTTATCTCTCCACTCTCTCAATCCTTTGCCCATGATACTTCTTCTTCAATGTTAGCCACATGGCAGTACATTACATGCTCCCAGACTAGTCTCATGCAGTTTATTATACCAGCCTTCACAGCAGTTCACACCTCCACCACTCACAAATTTCTTACTGCACTGCTGCTCTACTCTACTTCAGAAGGAAGAAAGAGACTATCAGTCAGGATTCACATCAACAACCCCAGGCCATCCCTATCAACTTACCCAATCCCACTGGTTTCTTTCAAAACCTTCAGAGGAAGACATGCCCTGTCTCCTGTTGAAGGCTATCCACTCTGTTTTTGACCCAACTCCCTCACATCTCCTCATGGATCTTCTCCACCAATCTCTGACAAATGGAAGGAACACTTTTTCAGTTCTTCTTTTAGCCTGTCTGCCACATTTGATACTCTTGACTATAGCTTTCTTGAAATGTCCTGCCTGGGATTCCAAGATACCATTCTCTTCTGGTTCTCCCTCTGTCTCTCCTATGGTCCTTTATTCTTATTTGCTAGACTCTCTTTCTCAATTCTTCCATAAAACATTGGTGTTCTAGAGTTTCATACTCTTCTCTCGCACTGCACGATCTCATCAAAATCCCATGATTTCAACTACCACCAATGGGTTACTGGCTCCCAAATATTTAACTTTAATCTCAACTTCCTCCTCAACTTCTAGCCCATTATGTACTAAACCGTTCTATGTAGACTTCCATGGTTAGGCTTAAGATCCCTTCCACCTAACATTGTTCTCTCCAAATGTGCTGTTCCGTCAGTACTATCTATCTTGAGAAATAGCCTCATTATCCACCTAGTCACCCAAGTCTATATCTCGATATCCTTGATTCTAAACCTTTTCCAGTACAGCAAGGTAGTTAAGAACATTGGCACTTGACTACCTAGGTTCAAACCCTGTCTTACTACTCTCTAGCTGTAAAACCTTGGACAAAGTTACTTAACCTCCCATGTCTCAATTTCCTCACCACAGAGAAAAGAATATCATATAATCTGCAGAGATGATGTGAGTATTAAATGATTAACACATGTAAAGTTCTTACAGCAATGACTGGCACAAACCAAGTGCTCAAAAAATGTCTGCTAGTATTATTACTATCACAGCCAATCAATCAACATGATATATATTTTATTTTCTTTAAAATCAGCTCTTCTTCTCCATATCTCTGATTCTACTTTTCTTTATGTCCTCATCAACTCTGAAGGACTACTATGCCATATTTCATCAATATTAAGACACATATTTTTTCACATTTACCATCTTTGTCTTGGGATGCTATCTTAGAGACGATAGCATGTCATGTTTTCACAGGCAGTTTTTTTTTTTCTTAGTAGCACGCAACAATGATGCATCTTACAACTGATGGTGTCTTAGGTTCAATGAAATAATAGTAGAGGCTTCTTACCTATTCTTCCAGCCTCCGTTCTGTTCTGCCCACTCCAATTAATGACCCCAAATCCACTACTGCCAGTAGGCTACATAGAACTGGGGAAGAATTCATAAAATAGCTGAAAACATTCTACAAATGTCAGCTATTTCAATATAACTTCATTTTTCATCATAAGCATTTTTATGGTAGTTGCATTTCAAGGAATTTTGGAAAAAAACCATTATAACTAACCTTTGAAGATTTACCCATTTATTCACCTAATCAACAGATATTTAAGATGTTCCAAGAACTGTTCTAGGCACTGGGGATATAGCTGTAAACAAAACAGACTCAAATCCCAGTCCTCATGGAGGTTACATTTTAATTAATGGAGATTAAAAAATAAATAATATGGAATCTATATCATATGATAATAAGTGTTATGGAGAAAAAATAAAGCAAGAAGGAAGGAAGATTTACCACAGTCCTGACAATCATGTTATGAAATGATTGCCCTGCATGGTGATAATACTAATACCATTAGACCTTAGGAACATTTCCCCAAATGCAATATCTCAATTATGCATTTACTCAGGCAACTATGATTTGGAAAAGAAGGGGTAAATCTCAAAAGCCTTGGGTTTACACAGCCCATAAGCTGATCCACTTTAGTTACCATACTAATAAGGACTGTGGTTATAGCTTCTATGGCCTTGACAAGTCTTTGCCTTTTATATTTTAGGAGGTCATAAATGTTGAATGAGGGCATGTTTCAGGTCCACGACTTACTGCCACCTCTGCCTTTCCTCAGCTCCCCAAATAGCTAAATGTTCTTTTTCAAGGGTTTCAATGCTCTGAAATAGGTGCTCCCAGGTGGCCACTATAACTCATTTCAACCTGGCCGAACAGGCATGAATAAGCCTCTTTATTGTTAGTTTTATCTTCCCTTCAGTGCTTGGGAATACAGAATGATCTCTAAAAGTTTACGCTTTATTAACTTCATGAGCCACCAGAAAAATTCCTTCAGTATCATCAGGATAATTCAGCCCAGGTACCTTCAGTGTCCTAATATGATCCTCAGCCTCACTCTTTTCTTTCTTGAAGTGCTTCATCAGCTCCTGGATATTTTGTTCGTGTTTAGTTTTCACACTCTGCAATGACGATGTGAGATCTTCCAGCTCCCTCTGGTGAACGTCTCGTTCCAGCTTTAACTGTGTAATGATTGTAGCTGTTTCTTCATCCCTGGATTTGGCCTGTGTCTGGAGGTCAGAAAGGTTCTTAAGCACCTCTTTCCTGGCTTTCTGCTCCTCGGCCAACTTATTAGCCAGATCTGCCCGGATGGCACTCAAGTCCTTGACAGCCTCTTGCAGCTCAAGAAGTTGAGCTTTGTCCTTAGCCTGGCTCTTCTTGAGCTCAGCAATTTCTTCCTCCAGGTGAGCTTTCTCAGTTTTCATCTGGCTTTGACACTTACTCTGCTTTTTCAATTCACTTTCCAGCCTATTGATGGTGTCCAGGGAATCCTTAACTTCTAGTTCAAGGTCAGCTTGATGCGCCTTAACATCACTTAGTTTCTGCTCCTTACAGTGAAGCTCCTCCTCTTGAAGGGCACGCTTGGTTAAGACTTCGTTTAATTCTTTTCGAAGATTCTCTATTTGTTGTAACGCTGCATAAAGCTGGTTTTTCAATTCTTCCTTTTCTTTTAGAATCTATAGGGTTAAATATATAAAGCAAAAAAAAAAAGTTAATGTAAAATTCACCATAGACGCTGACAGAAAACAAAATCCACAGAGAAGAAAAATTCATCACATAGCTTATATTTTTTCCATTTTTTAGTAAAAAATATTTTTAGGCTAAAAAAAAGAAGAAAAATACAATCACCCTGAGGTAGCACCACATTGAAAGATACGTTTCAGATTTTCATCACCAAAACATATCAATCCTTCATCGTAAATAATTATTTAAATGTAAGATAGAATTGAGAAAAATAGGCAAAGAAAAAGACTCCTATTATAACTTACCAGAGGTTGAAACAATATAGTGTTACTTAAAATAACAATGATTTGCATTTCAATGGCACACTTTCAAAGAGGAGAAACCTCAAAACAGATGTGACGATAACACAGGGAAGCATGCAGATACCGTCTAAGAAAGGTTATGGTACAATCAGTCATTATTAATAAAATAATGTCAGTAGTGACAAGAAACATACCAGTATGTTACTGGGAATCTCGAAGCCCCACAAAGGTAGAAATGAGATTAATTTAAGATTAGAAGAGGTTGGGAAGGGACTCAAGAGAAAAGTTAAGGGACCAGACATCCATTACCCTCTGTCAGCCTCTTTAGGGGGTTAGGGTTTTTTACACCGAGAGACCGAGGCCAAGAACTAACCCTCTAATCCTCTCCACTCATCAATGCAAATGAAAAAGTCAGCAGCTAAGGAAGCCAAAATTAATAGTTTTCCCTCCCGACACTGGCACCAAAGACAATCTCTGTGCCTGTTTATTGATGCCCACCATGGCTCAAACCTGAAAAAAAAAATTAAGATCCTCATTTCAGAATTAGAAATGCGTTAAAATACAAATACTTGTCAGGCATACACTTTACATTTTGTAATTCATTATGAAACAATTCATGATAAAATGTAATAACTCGATCACTCCAAAAAAATAGTTTCCTCAAATCCCTCTCAGTTTTAACAGGGAGAAACAGCATGAAGCTAACATGGAAATAATAAAAGGAGGTGATATGGCAGCTGAGCTCTGACCACAGAGAAGTGAATTTTTTCTCAGTTCAGTCAACTGCAGTTCTATTGCTTAAGGAAATTATCTTTATAAAGATAATAATAATAGCTACATCATAGGGTTGCGATGAAGACTAGTGGGAAAGGGGAAACAAAAAGCAGGAGTGGGATTTAAGTTCAAAGACAAACCAGGATCTCAGGGAGGTATTCATGTAAGATAGTTATCAAAACTGTGAAGAAAGAGGATAACTGATAAAGCAATGTTCCTGGATCGAAGACTCTGGAACACAGATGAAAGAGTTCACTTTGGAAAGATTGTAAGGCAGGAAAAATGGCTAGAAATAGAGATAAGCCTGAGGGTAGATATATTATTTTTCTACTGCAGGGTAACAAATTCTAACAAATTTCCTGGCTTAAAACAATACCCATTTATTATCTCACTGTTTCCATAAGTCTTAAGTCCACGCAAGGTATTCCCCTTAGGGTCTCCTAAGGCTAAAATCAAGGTGTCAGCTGGCCTGGGCTGTTATGTGGAGGCTTTGGGGGAGAATCCATTTCCAAGTTCATTCATATTGTTGGCAGAATTTAGTTCTATGCACTTAGGCCCTGAGTCCCTATTTCCTGGCTAGCTTTGGGCCAAGGGGTGTTCTGAGCTTCTAAAGGCCACCCACACTCCTTGGCTCATGGACTCCTCAATCTCTGCAGCCAGCAACACCATGCTGAATCCTCTTGTTTCAAATCCCTCTGACTTCCCCTTCTCCCAACAGCCAGACAAATATTTCTGCTTTTAAAGGCTCCTATGATTAGATTAGGCCCATCCAGATAGTCTCCTTATCTTAAGTCAACTGTGCCATATAATATAACATAATCTGGGAGTGATATCCCATCCATCATATTCACAGGTTCCAGGAATTAGAGTGAGACATCTTTGGGAGGTCCCTCTACTTACCACACTAGAGAAGACAAAAACTGATAGCATGAAGTCTTGGCTGTAAGGTTAATGCGGGAGGAGCCTGAGAAAGAGGAGAGGTGGCTTAAATATAGTGATTATTGCTTGGAACAGATAACACAGCCCCTTGGCCATGAGTTAAGAGACTTCCATGCAGCCCTGAAGATAAAAATCATATTTTCAAGAAGAAGGTCTAGCAAGTAAAATGCCTTTGATTGCAAAATACTATAACGTCTTCCTGAAGTTGCTTTAAACAGCAAGGATATTTCTTTTTCTCACATAACAGGAAGACTGGAGATGGGATGGTTCAAGAAGAGTCCTTCAAAGCTCAGGCTCTGCTACTCTACAATTCTCCAAGTTTTACCCTCCGCTTCAGTGTTCCAAGGGTCACATCAATTCATGACAAAGGTGATAGCCTCAGAGTGGACAGTCACAGACTATGTTGGTCAAGTTTGGAATTTCTTTGGCAATATAGATGCTAAAAACTAAGTAAGTTCTGTCTATTTGCTTTTGGTTAACAGCTTGGCTGGTAGCCATAGCCCAAGATTTTGTCTAGACACTGTCTGTGAGTCTGAAAACGTCAGTATCTTAACCACCACCTCAATATCCTGGGCATTCCCAGGGGCCCTCAGTTGAATAGCCTTTATCTTGAGGGAATTCAAAACAATGGATTTGGGTCCCCTTTGTCTTGCCAGGAATGCTTAAGTAGAAGTACTTGAAAGGGGCCTGAGAAATCAGGCTTGTTTTTACCTCATTTTTATTTCTGCTAAGTTTCCTACCTCCCTATCTTGCTTGGATTAACTTCAGCATGGATAGCTAATTTGGCTTTTCCAACCCTAAAGAACTCCAGCTTATCAGACTCAGTACATTTGTATTACAGATTGCAGATTTTCAGTCTCGCCACCCCAAAAACTCTTGCTCTGCTTGTAGACAGACCGGCTTCAATCCATACCCATCTCTCTTGTAGGACCTTTCGGAAGGCTGTAATAAGTACACAACATACTCCAACATCCTGAAGGTTTCCTCCTGGTCACTTAATACCATACTCTGAGGCACAAGCATCAACACCCCAAGGTATGATTTCTCATGGTTTAACCAACTACTTCCAATAGCATAGCAAGGTTTGCCAATTTTCCCTTTAGAAAAGTATGATCCTCCTTGCCCCCACCCCACTTCTCCACTTAGTCAATCCTACATTTTGTGTTCTTTTACTTACAGCTCCTAACCCTTAGAACTGATGTTTCATATCAGCTTGAATTTCCTCTGCTGAGAGTAAGAGAAAACTCCAATTCAAGTTGACTTAAATCAAAAGGTAATTTATTATCATTCCAGACATAGTAGGTCACAGCTCTAGGTCCACCTCTCCGCAGTTCTCTCAGCACTAACCTCCTCTGTGTGAGGCTTTGTTCTCAGGACTCAAGCAAGACAGCTTCAGCCATTCCAGCCATCACAGCCAAACACAACAATATCCAGAGAAGGAGAAAAATCTCTCTCTTTGTGTATCTTTTTTAGGAGTGAGGAAGTGTTTACCAGAAGCTCCCCATAGCTCATTCTTCATTGATCAGAACAGTGTTGTGTGTCTAGTAAACGGCCTACATCAACATTTTTTTTTTTTGTGAGGAAGATCAGCCCTGAGCTAACATCCATGCCAATTCTCCTCTTTTTGCTGAGGAAGACCGCCCCTGAGCTAACTTCCATCGCCAATCCTCCCCTTTTTTTTTCCCCAAAGCCCCAGCAGATAGTTGTACGTCATAGTTGCACATCTTTCTAGTTGCTGTATGTGGGACGCGGCCTCAGCATGGCCTGAGAAGCGGTGCGTCAGTGTGCGCCCGGGATCCGAACCCCGGGCCGCCAGTAGCGGAGCTCGGGCACTTAACCGCTAAGCCACGGGGCCGGCCCCTACATCAACTTTTGAATGGAATGGAATGGATTGGGGCAGGCGGGGAAGTAACCAAGACCACAATAGAAGCCAACTGATATTTCTACGTAAGGTTTGCTGGTACTATTCAGGAGCAGGAATGGAAAAAGTGGTGAGTTGGGTTAACCCCAGATTGAAGACTAGTGAAATGCGTGAGGTGGAAGGAAGAAATTGAACATATTGGTGAGCATGTCATCAGAGTAGCTTTTCATGAATTCCAGTCTGACAGGAAAAAATTGATTCCAGGAAATAACTGGTCAACCAGAGGAATGTGGAAAGATCAAAATCAGATGGTAATGGTTAAAAAAAGGAAAAGGGAAGAAAAGAACTGTGCAAGATCAGAAACTAAAATTTTGGAACTAAAGATTTGAACATAGAGAAATTACAGATGATGACAAATTTTAGCCACAGAAATTAGTTGCTGAGTGATTTGAAGGTCACTGTAAAATAGGAAATTACTAAAATATAAGGATACAGAGCTCAATGGGTTGCTTACGTGAACTTTGAGTTCACCAAAGATGATGGCAAGAATTACACGTAATGAAACAGGTTGAGGGGAAGTCAGGTGCGAAAATCCTTGAGAAATATGGAGGCTAATGGAAAAATAAGTATCAGTCAGGAACAATGGGAAGAGAATGTTCTAACCATGCAAATCCAGCTTCCAAACAAGATCTATAAGGGAAGATTATGAAAGACAAACTGAAAATGGCTATGTGAAGCTAGAAGAATAACACTGTCTAGAACCATGGAGGTTATGGGAACAGGGACCAATTCCTCAAAGACCTGACCACAAAGTATACACAGTTTTTTTGATTTAACTAAAAGACAGACAAGGAAATTTAAAAAAAATAAATAAATAAGTTATTTTTCTGCATGTGAGGGAACATGTGGACAGATTGCTGGATTATACTAATGTATCAGTATAATCCACATCAGTATAATCCACACATTTAAAAAAGTATGCACTTTAGCACTGATCCTTCTTACTTTTCAACCATTAAAAAATTCAGATTTTAAAAGACAGTATATATAACATATAGTTTTTTTTTTCCTTAGCATGAAGGCAATACACAGAAAGGAAAGATGGCAATTTAAGATTCTTCAAGTCAAATACTATCAAGCAAGGAGTTCAATACATGGGCAAGCCAATTATTCTGCCAATTCAGAAAGAAAACATACATAAATAAAACAACCTAAGAAGTATTCCCATTATCCATGGTTAAAAAGAGTATGAATTTGCAAAGATTCGGCAAAGCATACACTATGATCAAAATCCAAGTTCAAATTTTTTCCTTCATCTTTTTTAAAGCACACATAAAAACTAATGACTTCAAGCAGCCCTTTAAAAGAAAAACGAAGATAAAAACATCACAACTTACGATTAGATTATTTCTATCTGTAGAATTTTAGGTCTTCCTACTAATATGTGTTCATCTATATAACCTTAAAGAACATCATGATTCCTTGACATAAACATCCATGCCATTGTCTTTTAAGAAAAGTATACAAGCTGATCTTTCTGGTTTTTTCTGCAATGATATGCTATTTGTTTGATATTCCATATCCTTCAGTAATGAAGTAGTTTTGTAATATGATATATATCTGATAATGTTATCAAGATTCCAAAAACATAAAGAGCAGGAAAAAAAATATATCAGAGCAATTTTTAAGAGAATAAAAGCCTTTGGCCTTCTAATGTATTTTTAAGTGACAAATCTTAAAGCAGAAAATTAATTATGCTGGAAAAAGAGAAATGGAAGTAGGCACAGAATTATTTTGAAAATGCAAAAGTATCTTTTGAATATATAAAATGGCTCAAAAGGCTACTTATTAAACAATTAATTTATTCTTTAAACCATGTGTTTTATTTGTAAAACAGTATGATTTCTATTTTAATATACACTTCCAAATATACTCCTGGAGTCACTTTTTGAAAATAATTAGTCCTAAAAAACAAAAAAGGAGTAGGCTCTATTACTAATGCCTTAAGGTGGCTTTGTGATTTTATTAAGAATTAAATACTCCTTAGAGGTATTATTCAGTAAGATATTAAAAAATATGCTTTTTACCCCAAATTATTTACAATGCATTTCCACATCACAGATTTACTGGACACTTGAATTTGCAGTGAAATATACGTTATCCTTTTTGCCTTGATTAACCATTGCTCTAACTACGACATGCTGCATTAATTTTTAAGGCTTTTAAAGTGGAAATTACAATGCCTGCTGTGATAATTGTGATACCACCCTAACTGCGGCAATCACTTTAAAACTACTTCTTTGCTTATCATTAGCAATGCTAAGTGATAAAAATAATTATCATAGGAGTATTCTGGGAAATGATTGTTTAACAATTTTAATATTCTGAAAAGCCCAATCTAGAAAACTCTCAAAACCATGGATTAGGATACTGTCTGATGACATGGACCCTTCTAAATTTCCTCTAATTAAGCAAAATCCTGAGATGGTTCTCAATCAATCAATGCCGGCAACCACTCTTCTCTCTAGCTACCTCCCTCATAGTCAGGCTCATTGAACCAGTTGCCAGACCAGGCTGACAACAGAATAATCAAGGTACAGCAATTTTCTGGGATCAAATCAGTTCAGATTCAAGTCTGAAAGCTTTAGAACTGCTTTACCTCAGGGCAACCAGTCACCCACTATGTGTCAGATGGGTTAAATTGAACAGCACTCCACAGTGAGTACAAAGTGATCACTTCCTCCATCTTCCAGTATGTCCGAGAAATTCAGATGTAAAAGGCAAAGCGTCTTTTCCATGACAGCTCATCTGAAATAAGTATCTGTCACTCCTAAGTGCTGACAATTGATTTTATAAATATAATTGCCCTACATTTTGTTTTCTTTTGAAAGACAGTCAACTTATCCAAATGATTATTCTAGAATGTTCAGTTCTTGACAAACAACAAATGACAAAGCAGAAATGATAAACCAAGACTATACATGGATAAAAATCAATCATGACTTTCCTGTTTATTATCTTATAAACATCTGGGCTTAATTCAACTCAAAGATATAGTTGAGAACCAACATAGGAGCATAAAATCCATTTAAAGTAACTGATTATACAAGAGAAAAGATGATGTGAAATGCATACATAGATCAGTGAAATGCTTTTTGTTACCATCAAAAGGGCACAAAAGCAGAGTCTTAAAGAAGCCTGTGATCTAATAATACTGCTCATCAGTGAGACTGTCAATGTCACTCATTTAACCAAACCCATTATAACCACTGCCAGAAAATGGCCCAGTAGTAACCCACTTCATTTTTAAATGCTTCTTTCTAACCAATACTTAAGTTGAAATATACAAATGAGATTTTAAAATACACGCATTGGGGGGAAAAGTCATGTGATGTTATGGAAGATTTTGTGATTTTCTTCCATTTGAATTTTAAAGAATAATTTCAATTTAGGGAACTAGAGGCTAAACTGGGGGAGAGGGGTGGGTCTATTTTAAGGGCCAACTCGGAAAAGCCACAGAATGTTAAACTATTAAACAAGGCCTTAAAAAGATTTTAAAAAACCACTAAATTACTTTTTACCTTGAAATAGCCAAGATATATAGATTCTTCTATCAAGGACATCTTGATAGATTATATGCACAACATGGCACTTAAGTGTTTGTTCATAGGACAGATGAATGAACGGTTGGTCACAGCAAAAATCATTCCTTAGGAACTTGGCTTTTATACCTGATTATTCTTGTCTGTCAGTTGATCAAGAGTTTCAGACTGTTTCTCCAACGCTCGCTCTAACTTCTTGTGCTTAAGCTTCCACTGCCTGATGGCCTCCTGAGCTTTCAGTTTCAGCTCTTCTCTCCTCTTCTCCGCCTCCTGTCTCAGGGCCTCTGACTGCTGGAACTCCATGAGGTACTGCTCGGCTTGTCTGGTTGCATCCTCGGCGTGGTGAGTCAGCTCTGAGATCTGGAGGTCAGCATGCTTGTGCTTGGCTTCGCACGTCTCAAAGTGATTCTGGATCTCCTTAAGCTGATCCAACATCTGTAGTTGCTGTTTCTCCTTGTTCTCCAATTCACATGTTAAGTTCTAGGAATAAAGCATGTGAAATATTAGGAATGTATTCTTGTCAAAATTGGATGTGTAAAATACCATCAAACACGAATCTCTAATGTCTCTAAAATGAGACATCTGTATTAAGGTTCCTCAGCAATCAAGCTGGAAAATCTAAGTCCTATTCTGTGTATTTTACAATCGTATTAGTTGGGAATAATTTTTTAGAGAAATATTTTCTCTTTTTTAGACTACTTCACTATCTAAAAAGGGAAAATACGTATTTCCCAATTGACTGTCACTAAAATAGAATGCCTTGTTGATGAGAAAAACAATATGCATTACTTTAGTAAGAACCTAGTATTTTGTCCAACTGAAGAAATGTCAACGTTTCAAAATTTGTCAGATTATCATAGCCATCGTATGTAGTATTTCACTTTCTGGCAGCACATAAAATATTTTTATAATAAAATAAAAATCCGTAACAAAAAAATGAGCATTGATGATAGAAACATCAGTATAAATAACACTATATTTGAAAATCCACTTAAAGGTCTCTCAATAAAGTGTTTACAGATAGGTTATTTCCAGCTAAATCAACATAATGTTACAAATTGATGAACTTATCTCAAGCTTACATGAATCACTGTAGGATAGATTCTTAAATAAACTTAAATTTATTTGGAATACTTATCTAATCAAGAAAAGAACCTGAACTCTTAAAATCTAGCCTCCCTAAAACACAGTGGGTCAATAATACATTTGAAAATTACACTAAATCAACATGATTCGTACATATTTTTAATTTGAGAAGAATGGGTAAAGATCTATTTTTAACTTCAAAAATGAGAGAACATTGCTTTTATATAACATTTTATACAAATAAAAGAATGATATAATCATTAACATGAAGCCACTCTTGTAAAGCTTTGGAAGGGAGTGACAAATCCAGAAATAAGTGCTTACAATGTGTCCCATAAGCTGCCCCTCCTGAGCCTTAGTTTCCAAAAACCTGGGGTAACAAACGTACCACGAAAAGGCCATGTGTCCAAATAAGGTTGGGTTCAGGAGGCTAAGATGATGCCGAAAGCTGGACAAACAATAAATATCATCTACATTGCACCAAGGCACCTACAAATGGAGACTGGAAACATTTACCAACTTCCTCTGCTCTAACAGCAGAATGTTTAGTTCCAGATGCCACTGTCCCTGAACTGTGGCTCTCAAATAAAGTAAAATATAATTTCTTTCATGATTTAAGTCCTGGTTTGACATTACAGCAAAAAAATAAAAATAATACCTCGAAAACAAGCTTCATTTTCTGAGCCACAGGTTTGCATTTGCTCAGTTTGCTAAGTTCAGTGCAGCCTGGAAGAGATGAGTCACTCCTTTATCCACCCAAACATAATAGTAAATTGAGAACAGTGCACTTGTTTGTGTGGAAAATTCTAGAATGAGATCAGAAAACCCTAGTGACGGCGGTTTACCCTTTTGCCCTTATCTAAAAGCTTCACCACTACGCTAGAAATCAACTTTATTAACAAGCAGCATTCAAGTGATTTCTACATCAACAGAGAGGTATCAATTTTTTTTTTCCAAAAAATACTTGGGATAGTGGTTACACTTCCTGTGTGTTAGACACATACTTTACAGAAAGGTTAATAAGACCTGGCTTCAATATCAAAGAAGCTAATAATCTAACTGGGGAGATATTCACACTAACAGCTAAATTACAACAGTGGATAGTGCTAGGTGCTAAAATGTGGTGGACAATTACCTGAAGGGGTCTATATTCTACAGTGTGGCTGGGGAGGGTGTCTCTTAGGAGGTGAGGTATGAGCTGAGATCTAAACGAAAAGGAGCTAGCAATAATAATAATAATAATGATAATTACAATGACTACTGAAGTTTATTGAGCATCAGAGTTGTGCAAGGGATTGTGCAAATGCTTTATATGAATTATCTCATTCAATCCACCACAAAACAGAAGGAAGGCACAATTACTATCTTGATTTTAGTGATAGGTAACCAAGGCTTGGAACTTGCCCAAATCACATACCTAATAAGTGAGGGCATAGGATTCAGACCCAGATAGTCTGACTCCAGAGCCCATGTTTTCATCTCCGCTAAGCTTACAGCTTCTCAGATGACCCTAACTCCATGCCTCTTCAGTTACCCACTCCCACAGTCCTATCTTAGTGTTTTCTTCAGAACTACCACCTTTGAAGCAAGAGGAATGTCCCAACCCTCCTCGCCCTACTATCTCCTCCCTCTACTCCCCCTCCTCACCCCTTAGGCCTCTGGCTTGATCTACCAATCTGTCCAGTTGCCTCACTCCCTTTCTTCTGATACATCTGCTCTTCATTGTTAAGAAGGTGACCACTCTCTTGACATTCCTTTTGCTGGCTTTAAATCTAGGCTGTTTAACCTAACTTCCTTAATTTTCACTTTAGCCACTCTTGTTCACATCTCAAACTCCTTTTTAAAACTCTGCATCCACTGAACTTGAACAGCTCTGTGGGAACTAAAAAATTTCCTATTTCCTCCATCAGGTTACTGAGTCCTCTAAGGAAAATCACACAGGCATATCAGGTGATGTGATGGCACATTGACAGCCAACTCCTCAGTGCCCAGAAATTCTTCTGCATGCCTCTACCCACTCCACACACTGGCCATTCCAAAATTTATCTGAGCCTACCATCATTTCACTCACTCCTAGTATGTAATATAGCTCCTTCTTGAGAAATAAAATTGAGGCTATTAGGCAGGGGACCTTCAGATTTCCTAAATGTACCATCCTGAAACTTACCAATGGCCAGTCTCTCCTCCTCTCCAGCCTTTGAGGAAAGGGATCCTTCTTTTTTAGACAAATTAGCCTATCTTTGCTATTTCCCTCCACGTCTATCAAGGGCTTCACTATCTCAATCATGACCTCTCTTCCATGTCTTGAATCTCTCTTTCCCTACTGGATCATTCTTCTCTACTTCTCCCATCTTACAAAACCACAGTAATGATTAAAAGAAAAAAAATGAAACAAACAAAATCTCTATTAATCAACATGATCTTCTAACCAGCACCCTGTACTCTTCTTCCTGTTAAGCCAAGCTCCTGAAAAGAGCAGTCTACACTTGATGCCCCACAATCTTACTTCCAATTCACTTCTCAATTTGCTGGACCTGGTTTCCATCCCTATCATACAATTAAAATAGCTCTCATCAAGGTCCCTGAGAATCACCTATAGCTAAATACAATGGACTCTTTAAAAATCTTTCCTCATTTCCTTTCCTAGTAGCATGTAAGACTGTCAATTACCTCTTCTCATTCTTAAGTCTCTCTTCTTCCCTGACTCATAATACAGTCATGCACCGTATAACGCTTCGGTCAACAGACTGCATATACAAGGGTGAACCCATAAGATTAGTACCATATAGCCTAGATGTGCAGTAGGCTATACTATCTAGGTTTGTGTAAGTATACTCTATGATGTTCGCACAACGACAAGATCGCCCAACAACACATTTCTCAGAATGTAACCCTGTCGTTAAGCGACACATGACTGTATCACTCTTCACTAGTTCTCCTTTTTCTTCCTATTCTTTCATAATCTTTTTCCTGGGTCTCCTCTACCTTTTAGCTTAGAGATAACTGTACAGGGTTCTGGTAACAAGCATCATCCCATCTACAAATTATTTTTGGTAGGTAAGTAAGTATATGTAGATAGACAGGGATATAAGTGATTCCTAATTCAGAAGCCAGACTGCTCTTCTAAATTCCAGATCTTTAAACATCTAATTGCATAATAACTTTCTACCCTTGGTAATTCCAAAGGCATCTTAATTTTAGCATGTCAAAGTGAATTTATTGATGCCCAACTCCTAACAAAATGATAGTCCTACTAAAATGGCAGTAAAGGCTCCCTCTGCTGAGCGAGGATAGAAATGGGAGTGGAATTGTGTAGTTAATTAGTGAGAAAGTCTGAAATAACTGCTGTAGGAAAAGAGACAATGAACAAGAGATAAATGTTTAAAGCTGATGAATAGAAATAAGGCTACAATTAGAAAGTCTCAAATTTAAAATGGACCCAAGAGTACACAAAATTCTTCAAATTTCTCCAGCAGCTCTTTGAACCCAGAAGCAAAACAAGTTTAGCATTACTTATTCTTCTGTAATTACAGAGCAACAAGAATAGGCATAGGATTAATATATGCAAACCTAGAGCATAAGCACATAAATTCATTTGTTCTCACATTTAAAAATTACAGACTTTCATATTAACATATTACACATAATAATTTACTTACAAGAATATTTGAAAACATCATGGCATTGACTGGGTATGCGAGTGTAAATGAACAGAAAAGGGTGTGGTTCTTATTGTAAATAATTGTGGTACTCACTATTGATGGGAAGTAGGTTTGAATTTGAACTGGAGGAACATCACCTCTAACCATCCTGAGGCTGGAAACTACTGTTATTGCTTTGTTCCCATCAGTTTGTTTGTATTATGCTTCAGGTAAAACTTGTCATAGAATTCCTTCCTACATTCATTCCTCAGAAGACCCTATTCAGCCATTGTTTTGACATTTTCTTTAATCCATCTTCTTCAAACAACCAATCAGAATAACCTAATTGTAATAAACATTTCTCCCTCTTTAATCAAAAGATTCTGCTACAGAACTCGCATAACAATTCCTCCCATACACACATACACTCATACATAAATACACACATATGTACATAGAGCACACAGGTATACAAACACATGAGTAATCCCAGGATAAATGCTTTCAGGGTAGGCACGTATAGTAAATATTAGTATCCTCCCGTATACTACATGAAATGCTAAATGCAAAGCAATTTTCTTATTTATTCCATTATAGTGATTTTCAATTCTATTATTACTATCACACATTCCTGGAGGCATCTTCTACGCTGAAGAACTTTTTCTATTTAAATTGTGTGAAATTATCTCAGCCACTAAAGCAGGGTGGTTAAGATTAACATCACTGAATTAAGCCCATTATTTATTTCTCACC